TCTCTTTTCATGTTTCATTGATTGTGTACCTTTTCCTTGATCCCTTGCCTACTTATTAATAAATTGTAGCCCGTATCCTCGAGTAAGCCGCGAATATTCGAACACCTTTTGTACTAACTCTATTTTTAAAAAACATTGTAAAAAGACAAATGAATTTCGGCTCCTTAAAGCTTCCGCATTTGAGCCTTGACAAATAAATGAATTTACAAAAAAAACTACGCCTGGCCATTGGTGTAGCTAATAAGGGTGCCAATAGGGCCAGGGCACCTCCAGAATTTTTGGAGCTTTTTTTTTGACTCACCGGTATTTTGTCAAGCTTGTCAAAATCGATGTTACTATTTAGCAGCGATTAATAAAATTGTACCAGAAAAAAGGTTTTTATCTAAATCCTATATGTTGACTACTTTTCATATGTTCTGGACTAGAAGAAACAATTTTTGGAAATTATATTTTATCGATATTTAATCGATGGCACAATAAGATGTCTTCATGCTCAACAAATTGGCCATGAGCCCATGGATTATTCTTCAACTTCTGAAAACTTTGTAAAACTACAAGGACTTCTAAGAAGTTCATCGGGGGAACATCGAATAAATTGTGGAAGCTGTGGAAAGTTTATTTAAGTTTGAGGAGATTCGTAGAAGTAAAAGGAACAGTATTTTATTTCAGGGAAGCTCATTATTGATCGGGAACCCCTATATAATTTCAGGACACTTTTTTGAAACATCATGGACTTGGAATAGTTAAACTTCATATAAGTGTAAGGAATTTTGAAAAAGTTCATGGAATTTAAAAGAAGATCTAAAAATAGTTTAATAAATTTCTTAGAACATCAGGGATTCTCGGTTCAGTTTAGAGAACTTCATTGCAGTTTGTGAAAGATCTTACTATAAAAAACTTCCATGAACTTCTGGGAGGTTTTGGAAACTGTTAAATTTCAAGGAACTTTCTAGATTTGAAGAATATTTGTAGATGATAGGTGTCTTTCCAGAAGTGCTAAGCTGTTCAGAGATCTTTGTAGAATTAAGAGGAAAGTGGAATAAATTCAGAAAATTTTGAAGAAGTTGAGGAAATTTTGCAAAACTTAAGGGAATTTTGTAGATGTTCAGGAAACGTTGCATAAGATACAGGATATTCTTCGAGATATCCTTCCTAGACGGCAGGAAATATTCCAAAGCTCTCCATATAGACGAAGATATTTGTAAAGTTCTCTGGATATTTTTCCAAGACTTCAGGTTGATCAAGCTCTAGAGATCTCCTAGGTTGTTCAGGAAGTATCCAAACGTTTTCCAACTAATTGAATCTGGTGGAAACATGAATGATGAATCTATATTTTATGGACATGTTTGTACATTCTCTATAAGGGAAGACCCTGCCTTGGTGATTTAGCTATATTGTCAAGAATTAGCACTCCAGCGGCTAAATTTCAACGAAGAGAAAGAAATACCTAAATGTATAAATTTCGTTCTTTTCGATGAAATTTATACCCAGAATTCAGCTACAGGAAAGTTAGTTAGTTATCTTTATTAAGGAGACTTTCAGCCGAACGCTGGTTCGTCTCCGGCCATGCAGGAAAGTTTTAAAGGCTTAGAACATACAAAATCCATCCTTTTTGTGTGTATTTTGACGTAGAACTACGTCTTTGTCGACTATACTGGGGTGCAAATCAAAAAATATGTGTAGTGAAGGAGTGTTAGGTTTTGAACGCTTGTAACTTTGTCATTTATAGATGAAATTTAAATCCAAATACGCCAATCGATAGGATATATCACGAACCTGCTTTTCTGTAATTAAACTTTTGAAAATGTACAAATGATAATTGTATCACTGTTTTCATGAAATAAGCCTTTTTCCCAAACCCAGTCATCATAAACAAATACCACTTGGTTGCACATCATTCTGCTTGAACTTGAAAAGATATAAATCAGCGCTACTCTCCTGCCTCTGCTCATTACCACTTCGGATGGCGTATCACTTGGTCCTGCAGCAAGCAGGACCAAGTCAGTGGCTAAAGGTGGATCACGGCGTTACCACAATGAAGAATGCGACACAATGAGGAAAAGCAATGTATGTAAACCCCCTCCCCCTTCACAACAACCTCTTCCCCCCCCCCCCCCCTCAACAATAACCCGAAAAAGACATGGACTTTGACGATCACTTTTTTCCGGGAAATAAATTTTAAACGAACCACAATTATTAGGGCCCATGCATTAATTATGTCACGCTAAATCAAGCAAAAAATTACAACCTCCCCCCCCCCCCCCCCCTATCGTGACGTTTATATGTATCGAATAAAAAATGCTTTATTATTTTCTTTTCTCTTAAAATATCAGAATCATGACATTCAAAAACCAGTATCTTAAAACAAATGATGAAATTAAATTATAACCTGAATTTTCATCATTTTTGTCAGACGTCAATACTTTTCGGAAATTTTTAAATCCTAATGTTTTTCTTTATTTCTTTCTTATCTCGAAGAATTTTCCTCTCAAAAAATGCTGTAAGTCTCAGAATCTAGGTAAGTTTCTAAAGATCTTGAATTACTAATCTTGAAGTCCAGGAGATTCAAAGCTTATCTAAGCCTTTGATATCAAAACCTTTTTTTAATCCCTAAAATTTATTTTGATCAAAATTTCGTCGATTTTTTTTCAGGCAAATTTATTTTGTGAAGTTTTTATGAAACTTTTGATTAAGTCAACGTATCATAATTATTAAAATTTATATTTCATTTGTTTTAATATTTATTTATAAAAAAAAATATTATAAGACTGCCTACGGAGTATCTTGCAATTTTATCCTAGACTTAGAATTATGACAATTGATCTAATTTCATTGACATTTATTTACATTTGTATTCGAAGAATTTAGACTTTCAATCTGTATCAGAGATATCCTTTTTTATTAGTTACAAAATCTTGAAAACGTATGGGTTTGGGATCTGAAAACTATTTTTATGCTAACATTCAGAATGTTAAGAATTGTGCATCTTGACTAAGTCCTAAATGTATGAAGTCAGAAATTTAGAAGATAATAAAATTCATACTCCTAGAATTTAATTTTGGTTCTTATGTCTAAGATTCAACTGATGATGAATTACTAGTTACAAAATTAATAGAATTACCTTACACTGGAAATTTTCTTAAGTTAGAGGTGCTAAAATTTATTAGATCCGGACGTTATGTGATTTCATTACAAAAAGCATGAACAAACGATCATTGCTTGTTCGAAATCAGTAGGCTTTTAAGGCTCCCACAATCGAGGTCCCAATCGTCGGTATGAAATAAATATAATAAAATTTATTGTTTCACCATTAAAATAATAGTAAGCCTCAATGTCATATTGATGGTCACAGAAAAAATGTACCCAAAAACAAGTTACCTTGACGCAATTTGAATGAATAGCATCTTCGTGACTTTTTATTCAATCATAGTTTTGCAAATAAAAAAATAAGGCCCCCCCGAGACCCCATCCAGATAAATTTTCTAGTTACGCCAATAAAGTTTCTATATTTCAATTTCATTTCTGCCAATAAGACTGACTGTTTATAAATCAATTTAACGCCACTTCAGCGTTCATAAGCTCATTTTTGGCGATTCTTAACCATTTTGGCGTTTCCAAACAACCTTTTAAATGTATCAACCTTTTTATCGTATTTTGGGTCTAAAACCTCCGGCTATGTTCGCATTTCTGATGCGGTTTTTTTCTTTTGAATACCACATTTAATGATTATTGGCCATTTAGGTCACGTTTTGTTCGCGTATCTACGGCATTTTTTTATTATTTTTTTGTATATTAAAATAATGGTGAGTCACGAGTTTATCAAATTTCTCTAAGTGGGTCGAGGAAATTTGAGAACCACTGGTCTCCACTGATTGACGAAATGAACAAATTATAATTCTCTAGGATGAGTAATAGTTTTCATCATAATTGCCAAGGAATTCAACATTCCGTACAAATGTCATCAGTAAGAATTCCTCAAAATTTCGGATTAATCAGCAAATGAATTAGGATTCCATTCACTCCGCATGCATACATGTTCCCTTCCAATTTTTCAGAAAGCCATCTGAGCTAGCTCATAGTCCTGGACCAGGAAAATTGATATTTGACTCAGGACTGTTGTTCTAACTTCCCTTCATTGGACTAATGGCATTGTAATCAAAATCTTCAATTTCTGGGTAGCGTGAATAGCATAGAGTACAATTAATCTCTAAATACAATTAACTCGTAAAAATGCATCTGCTGCATCACGAGTAGATTACTGCAGAATTGCTGTACTAATTAACCATGCGAATCATGCCTATATGTCCAGAAAAAGCAAAATGAGGAAGACTTCAACACGCTAACCGATGAGAAGGTTTTAAATCGTCTAGTTCAACGGTACCTGTACCGTTGAAGCTATAATATTGTCTCAATTAGCGCGATGTCCATCCGCCCCATTGCCCCACCAGAGGTGACCCATATATGCATTTCACGAGAAATAAAGACTATAGCATCATTCTTGCCGTCGTCGATCACAAACGGGAAAGATGAAGAAAGTCACGAAACACCGACTGCGATAACGTCAAATGTAGGTCGAATCGTATAACGGCACAAACGTATAAGCTTGCACTATAAGCCATCCGTCGTCGTCTCCAGCTTTTCCACCCCGGTCTGCTCCCCATTTACGTCCCTTCAAGCGATGTGCTGCACAATATCACATGTCTCCCCACGGTTGGATCGAAAGCTGTAGTGAAAGCATCCGGGCCAGTCTGTTTACATATGGCAGAACCTAGTTGTGTGAGGCTGTTACTTTCCTCTCGTCCGGTCCCCCAAACACGACCATCAATGACTTGGCGATTTGGTCAAGATTTGTTCAACACCTTTCACACTTGATCGGGCACGGAGGGACAAAAAAAGAGTCTTTTACACAATGAAGATCAACCGGTAAATCATGAAACTAATACTGATGGCTGGGAAGTGCATGACGGTCACCACCATTGAGGTAAAAATCTTCTGCAGAGTTAAAGTCTTGAATTATTTTATTTGGCACTTAAACTGTGTTTTACAATAAATTAGATGCGACTGATCGCTGCTGGCTAATAAATAAGGCTTAATGGCTAAGTAATTGTGTAGAAGGGAAGGCGATACGCCTCAAGGCGTTACAAATTGGCACACACCGTAACTGTCACGCTTGCGATCAGGGCCACACTGCTCCTGGGCACCGAGAAGCTTGAGTTCCCACTCACCGCCGACGTCGCCGCCACCATCCCGTTCGTTGTCCCCTTGCAACTGCAATTTCATCATGTCGACATCCGATCGGGGATATTCTAGGCTATCGAACGAAGAAGCAGGTAAGTCTAGATAAGTCCGTTGCTCCATCATCAGGTAATTATCATCATCATATACTTCTTCATCACCACCAGTACCATCATCCTCGATATCTTGGATAGCACCATCACCATAATTGTTGTTATTGGTTAGTATAGTGTATACGGTATTAGTTCTAATTTCATCTTGGCACGGAGCTGGCCCGAGCAACGACTTGGACTCTCTTACGGTATTAGGATAATAATTACCTGATGGCTCGGGGAAATGGACCATATTTGACGAGGTTGGTTGCTCTACATGGAAGTTAAATGGCCGGACCACACGATAAATCGGCGAGGGTTGGTCTGAATTGCTGCTACGAGCGGTGCTGGAGATGTCCACTTTGTAAGGAGTTCGCCCCTCGATGAACTCTTCGTTGGCTACCCTAGCATGTGACTGCGATTCATCCAATACTACGACCTCTGGGGTTAGGTGGGATACCTTCTTCTGGGCCGCGTGATTCTTAGTATTCTTTCGATGACCTGATTTTTTCTTCTGTTGATGCTTCTGTCCGGAACGATTCAGCAAATCCAAAAGAGAAATTCCCGCCGACGGCGAAGATGGTACAACTACGATCACAAAGTTCTCCAGATCAGCTCTGATATTGAACTTTCCTTCCTGTCGTTGATCGAAGGTTATTGTTTTACGAGGTTTACTAGTTGACATCGGCGCTGTCGTAGTTGTTTGCTCAGCTGCAACACTCGTAGAATGTCCTGCTGCAATCGGTTGAGCTGCAGTACTTGTCACCGACACCTCAGCCAAGGCCGCTGGTTCCGTAACCGCACTGGAACTTGTCTCCTGCGTGTAACTACTACTCTCCACAGCATTTTCCTTACTGCTATTTAGTCGCCTTTCATCACGGATCGCAGGGCCGGCCAAAACTGCGGTTCCCAGAACCAAAAGAACCATAAAATTCCTCAACATGATCGTGATCTATCCCGGTCCCCGTCTATAGTGTTCTACAATCGCAATCGTCCGGTACGTTGCTTTCTGGTTCAAGTTCAACAAACGACTGGCCTCCGAGAGATATTTTATTTACGCCAAGTTCATTGAAGACGACGTCAGGCAAGAAGAAAAGTATAAAAACAGAAAATTGAAAAAAATGCCGTTTTGCCGTTTCTCTGCTGGTGGAAATCGACCACATTCTCCTCTCTTTTCTCTGTCTCGCACACGCGGTCGCACGCTGCCCAGTTCCAGCCGTTCAACCTGGCCAGCGAAACATGTGCGGTTTTGATGCTTGCTTTCCATCCTTTGCCAGCGACCGCGTGCTACCGACTCTATTATACTACGATGCGGCTTGTGCGGGACAGTTGCTCCGCCGCACCGTGGAATTGATCATCGTCATTAGGTATATGGATATACCTACCAGCTACCGTCGTGCATCTTTCACCATTTCTTCATTCTATATTTACTCACCGCATTATGACTTTTGCAGCGAAGATCGAGATGCTTCCTGCTTTGCGGAATTTAGTCCAAGCAAATGGAAGCTGATCTGCGTGAATATTGCTAAACGTAAGATCTTTATTGGATAATTTTCCAATTGTTGGTCAGCATTTTTTGCAGGAAACATTTACAGGAAACCAGTTCATGGGGTTCAAGAAAAGTTTCCGTAGGTAATATTTATTCGTGTAAGCTAGCAGAACAAGCAGCAAACAAAAGAAGGAGTAAAAGCAGGAATAATGCCAAGTGTCTATTATGCCAAATGTCCGTTATTCATGGTGACCACAAAACTCCGACTAGCAATGTCTCCGGTTTTGTCTCCGGAATTTTGGGTAATATTCCCGGTTGTGGGATAAGCATAAAACCTAATGCGATTGAGCCGAAGGGACCAGTAGATATACTAAAACAGCAGAATTTTTCCTGCATCTCGAATTTATATCTGCTTTAGAAGTCTTCAAAATTAATCCATGTTTTAATTACCTCGCTCAGAACTCTATACAGGATTTTTTTAATGTTCTAAAGAAATTAATTTAGAATAATTTCCCTTCAGAAAGTTCTTTTCAGAGTTCATCTAAAATTAATTTGAGATTATCTCTGAGAATTTCAAGAAAAAAGTTTCTTTGTAACAGTTCAGAGAATTCTCTGCTGTGCACCCAAAACATTCATGTAATTAATTCTAAGTTTCTCTTCGAATGTTTAATGATTATTTCAAGAATTCAGTGAAGCATTCACCTATAATTCTACTAAAAATTCGATTTGATTCTGCATAGAATTCGGTTTTTAACGGAAGTGTTCAATGAAAACTTTGTTTTTTTAATCGTGCATATTTTTGAAGTTATTTGTTAAATCTTTTAATTTTGTCGAACCTCTTACCCGAATCCCTTTATGAAGAGCTTTTTTGAATGTGTTGGTTCATTTCCTTTTAATTCCGTTACAATTAATCATATCGTCTGGCCATTTTCCACACAGATGGCGCTGTTCCGCTGGTAACAATGATATTTGAGAGAGAAAATTCTCTCTCACGAGCTGAATCTCTCAATATGCCACTCGATTTGTGATATCCTTTTCACAGATTACAAAATAGAGTACCTGTCACTACAAAACATGTCTGGTACCTCTATATATGCATTAAGTTTAACATTTGAAGTCCCTCCTTTTTTCATATTCTGCACAAAAGATACTTTCTGCCCCGCCCCATACATAAAAATCATGCGGGAGATTCTGTGCGGGGTGAGCCATTTTGTGTGCAGAATGTGTAAAAAGGGAGGGACTTCGGATGTTAACCTAAATGCATATATAGAGGTACCAGACATGTTTTACACTGCACTGTCCTCTGTGAACCATTAACGTAAAACAGATTATGCGTAGTTTCCGATTGATGTCACCGCTAGATGATTATCGGTGTATCACACTTTGTCAGACGGCGTATAAAATATATGCCAGGTTGCTTTTGAATCGCCTAAGACAGCAAATCAAGCCAGTTCCATCATACCAAATGGGATTTCAAGCAAAGCGCAGTGCCTCCGCCCAAATTTCGTCCGTTTGATTTTAGATGAACGATGGCGCAAAGGATGTTACACCATACTAGTGTCGCTGGATTTAAAGCAAGCCTTTGATCGTCTGGACATCTCGAAAACAGCAATCATCCTTACTGATCTGGGAGTATCAAAAGCGTTGATCAACCGAATAATTGTAGCCTGTCTTCACGAAACTACTTCGATTCAATGGTTTGGACAAAGGACCAACACAACACAGAAAGGAAGAGGCGTAAAACAAGGATGCCCTCTAAGTCCTGAATTATTTGTTCTTTCACTGCATCACGCGCTGATGTCAGTCAATGAATTTCTGCCATACATTACGCTTGAACAAGGATCTAAAGGGCGAACACGAAATTATTGCGACACCGAAAATGCCATGCCAATTTTCTTATAATGTTTAGAATCAAACCAAAATTTTAGGGTAGTTTTATACATATATTTACTTCAAAAATCAAAAGAAAAGTTAATCGATGGAGCCTTGAGTGTAAAATTGAACGCATTTTCGCTTGATGCCCTCCATCACAGTCTTTACAGTGTCATCCGGTACCAGTTTCTCAGTTTTTTTTTCCATTTTCTTAACATGTCCTTCTCGTCTTTGACTGTCTTCTTGCTCTTCCGAAGTTCCCGCTTCATTATTGCCCAGTACTGCTCCACCGGGCGCAGCTCCGGACAGTTTGGCGGATTCATGTCCTTTGGAACAAAATGGACATAATTGGCCTCATACCACTCCAGGACACTTTTAGAATAGTGGCATGATGCCAAATCTGGCCAAAATAGCGAAGCTTCGTCGTGCTGCTGCAAGAACGGCAAAAGGCGCTTCTCGAGGCACTCAGATTTGTAGATCTCCCCATTTACTGTGCCCTTTGTCACGAAAGGCTCACTCCTCAGTCCGCAAGAGCAGATGGCCTACCAAATGAGATATTTGGAGGCGAACTTCGACATTTTCTTCTTCTTAAATTTGTTGTCCACATCGAACTTGCTCTTGCCGGTGAAAAACTCCAACCCCGGAATTTGCTTAAAATCGGTTTTTATATACGTTTCGTCGTCCATCACACAGCAGCCATATTTTGTCAGCATCTTCTCGTAGAGCTTCCGTGCCCGAGTTTTAGCCGTCGATTGTTGCCGCTCATCGCGGTTTGGGAATTTCTGTACCTTGTATGTATGTAGTCCAGCTCTCTTCTTTGCATTCTGGACGTAGCTCTGCGACATGCCGATCTTTTTAGCCAAATCACGGCTTGAGACGTTGGGATTTGCTTTAATCATCCGCTTCACCTTTCCCTCCGTCTTTTTGTTCTCCGGTCCCAGTTTTCTTCCAGCTCCTTTGCCGTGGTCCAACGTCAACCGCTCCTGGAACCGCTTCAACACTCTGGAGACGGTTGAATGGTGAATGTTCAACATTTTTCCCAACTGCCGGTGCGACAGGTCAGGAAATTCCAGGTGTTTGGAAAGAATTTGTTCTCTCAACTCGCGTTGGTTCACCTCCATTTTCGTTGAATCGAAAAACACGACTTCGAGTTTGACAGCATGTACACAATACACATCAATGAGAAAGTGTGCAAAATTTGGTTGATTTTTACCCAATGGTAAAAAAGTTATGCCCTGTTGAATGTGTATGGAGATGATGTTGAAAGGTTATTGTCAATTTTGGAGCCCATATTGGCGTCGATTGGTCTGGAGTTAAATACGTTGAAAACAAAAGTTTTGATAAGAAATCCGTATTATATCGACAATGAAGAACCTGACACTATCTTGACGTTTGAGAAATACATGTTGACAACTGTCACAAAGCTACGCTACTTTGGAGCCTATATAACAAGTAGCCTTTCTAGACGAGAAACCACTTCGGAAACAAGGAAGAAAGCATATAAGGCTTTTTACTGTCTTTGCTCTTTTCTAAAAGAACATAAACTCAAATGGTCGGTAGTAATTAAGGTGATACTCTAAGGAAGCCTTAGCGTGAAACTTTAAAATACACAAATGTCAGCTTCTACAAAACATACAAATTTAAAATTGCTACTCCTTGTTTGCTGTGCTACTAAAAACAGAGAGTAGCAATTTCAAATTTGTTTGTTTTGTGGAAGCTGGCATTTGTGCCTTTGAAGTTTCACGCTAAGGCTTCCTTAGAGTATCACCTTAAGCTGTATCATAGCCTGATCACGCCAATAGTGACCTATTCTATGGAGGTATCCACAGTGCTGAAAAGAAACAGGAACTCATTACGAAGAATGGAGAACCATATGCTACGTATTTTAAAACAACTGAGCCTAGAGGAGGATAAACGGTACCAAACGGAAGGTAATGACGTCGAGGATCAGATAATACCTTTAGTCAACCCGGAACCGATCACAGAGCAGGCATCTGAAGACATGTCTGCAAACAACAACGAATCAGAAGATGTGCATGTAGCTCCAAACTGGCTTAAAGGAAGAACGATTAATAACAACATTAGAATAAATCGTCTCAACTACTATGTACATATACTCCGCAATGATAACAAAGGAATACTCAAAACGGCTATTAATATAAACTACCTATGAAAAAAAAAATGCAGACCTGCATTTACTTGGAGGACCAGTATAAGACAAGATATCTACAGAAGCGGGATACACATAACGGATTGTGATAGTGAAAAATACAAAAGCATGACAAAAAAGACACCATGGTGTAATAAATATAAATGATGATGGTCCCACCTCTTACCCCTACAAAGGTTTGAGCTGGACGAGTTATCTTTAAGATAATTAAATATAAACATATTAACCAGGTTTGCAAACAAAATCGAGCTGGTTACAATTACAGATATAAATGTCCTGTTAAATATGTTGTAGGCATCAACCAAAAACATTCAAAGGTAGTTATCAAAAGTCCAAGTATAGTCCTCGACAATACTTCCATTTACACGTGACCTGGGATTTACACGTTTAAGCTTCCGCAGTGCCAGGACTATATCCAAGGAAACGACTTCCAGCCAACCCTTTACTAATTCAAGGCTTTTGCCACAATTTCCACGTATTAGTCATTTATACCTGTATTCCGCGCGCGAGGCTCAAACCATTGTAGACTACTCAAAGCTATTTTTACTATTACTACTACAAAATCAAAAAACTAAAAATCCATCATCACCATCGAGGCAAACAATGTAGTTTTTTGTATATGCTACACAAATTACTCAAATGACAGTTTATGACAGTCTCCATACAAAATAATCCGTTAGAGATAACTTTGTCAAGATACATGATTTATCCATTCATAAAAATTTAACTGCTCAATAATCAGCTTTTACATGTGAAATGCAGCGTCTCTTGAATTCTGTAAGTGTAGTTGCACGCTTGATGTGTCTAGGCATCGAATTGAAAACATTTATACCTTTGAAAAATAATGAATTTTGTGAAGCATTATTCAAAAGATGTGGTGTTCTTACTTCATCCGCGTTTCTAGTGTTATATCTATGAAAATCACTTCCTCTTTCAATACGATCACACAAATATCGAGGCAGCAAACCGTTAACTACTTTAAAAATGAACACCATAGTCAAAAACACAATTCTTTGCTTCACTGACAGCCATTGCAAAGCGTCCAACATAAAAGTTGAGGAAGTGAATCGATTACATCTTAAAATCAAACGCATTACTTTATTCTGCAAACGCTGTAATCTCGATATTTGTGTTTTATTTGCCCAAAATAAAATAGAAGGGCAAAAGTCTAGATGAGGGGAGATGATTGATTTGTATAGCTGTATTTTACTACCAATAGTTAAATCGTTTTTCAAGCGACATAGAATTCCATACTTCTTGGCAATTTTCTTGATGACATTGTCAATATGAGAATTGAACTTGAGTTTGTCATCAATAATCACGCCAAGATATTTAATTTCCTGAACGCGATCAATTGTCTCATCATCAATAACAACAGAGACATCATCATCTACACGATTCCGCGAAATTACCACGAATTTGGTTTTACTTATATTCAATTTCAATTGTTTATACTTCAACCATCTACTTAGAGAACGCAAATCTTCATTCAAGCGTGAAACGGCTTCTTCTAAATCTTTAGCTGCAATGAATAACACAGTATCGTCAGCAAAAAGATTAATATCACAAAACCGTAAAACTCGTCGCATGTCATTAATATACATAATAAATAAAAGGGGCCCTAATACACTTCCCTGAGGCACTCCAAGGTCATTGTTAACGGGACAAGATACAAAATCATTAAAAACAGTCCTCTGTGTTCTGTCAGATAAATAGCTTTCAAACCATTTGTATGCAGAACCCAAAATTCCAAAGCGCTTGATTGTTCTCTACAATAAGGGCCTAGAAATTGTCTCAAAAGCGCGTTTTAGATCCATAAACACAGCAACAATCGTATCTTTATGCTCCAAATTTTCTTTCCATTTAGCTAACACTAAGTTTAACGCGGTTTCACAAGAATCCCCTTCCCGGTATCCCGATTGTTCCGATATCAACAAACAGTTACTATTTAAATATTCTAGCAGCTGGCCTTTTACAACAAGTTCTAAAATTTTCTCTAATGTGTGCAACATGTTGATGGGACGAAACTCTTCGGCTTTAATCGTCCCAGCAACTTTTTGTATAGGAACAACTAAAGATTCTTTCCAAATATGCGGCACGTGCCTAGATTGCAATGATTGATTAATAAGGTCCCGCAGAGTGTGTCGAATGACATGAAAGCAATCTTGAATAGCTCTAGCATTAACATTATCTACTCCAGCCGTTTTTCCTAATGAAAAGCAAATATTTTTAAGTTCATCTAATGTAATTGGGTGAAAACCATTAAATCTACAATTACTATTAATCGGCTGTTCGGACTACGAGAAAACAAGTGACATCGATGAGGACAGTACAGGCAGCTAGTTGATTTCATCAGAATTTGAAGGCTTCAGTGGAGATGAGTCGCCATGCTTTGGTTTGGATTCTGATCGAGAAGACGGAAACTAACCAAGAAAAAACAGCTCCTGCCTGATTTAATATATGACACCATAAACCACACCTACTCAACGTGACTTCAAAACGAATTTACAAAATGACGACAAGCAAGTTAAAGGAGACAACTGTAAACAGGTAATAAAAGCAAAAAATTACCAAACAACCATGAAAAGGTAAGAATGAATCTATTTATTAAACATTCCATTTACATTTACTGCATGATTTATCACATATCATCATATCATATCACATCACTACAAACATTTGATCACAATACGAGCCTAAAAGCTGCAGTGACCTAGTGAGCACCTTAGCTCGAGTCGTCTGTTAGTATTGTGTATCGCATGGAGAGCCCAACCGAGATGCTAGCCTATTAAGACTGCAGTTGGTCAACTCTCGAAAAAACAAAAAAAAATAATTTGTTTACATTTTTACATAACCTTTACTTTAAATTGCCGAATAGAGATTCCACTATGCAAAAAAAGTTTATCCACCCCCTACCAATTTACTTTTTTTTTTTGTTTTTCTGGTGAAAATCAGTTTAATTTTATGAGTGTTCCTCCATGATTTATCAATTTATTTTTATTTATCACATTGCCATTGAAAATACGGCGTTTATATCTTTTCTTGAGATTTCATGTGATAAATTATGAAAAATTGTAAAAAATTACGCAAAAAAAGTTTATCCACCCCCAAACGAATACTATGATTTAAGTGTGTTTTACAGAGTTTTAGTGTATATTCTGCAACTTTATCGAATGTAAACATTGTGTCTATCTGTCATTTAGTGCTCTTGAAGTTTTCGTGCTCAAAATTTCAGTTTTGTGTTCAAAATTGGAAGTTATTTGTTTTAAAATCCCCCAAAAAGCACAAATTTCGATCAGTATCCGAAATTTGATTATTGAACATCACAAAACTGGCAAAAGCTACCGTGATATTGCCGATATTGTCCAGCTTCACAAAGATACGGTCGCTAGAATTGTGCAGATGTACAAAAAGCGTGGTTCTATCTCACCAGCTATGCGATCGGGGCGTCCTTCAAAGACAACTGGCCGAATTGACAGAGCTATCGTGAAGAAGGCGGAGCTGGACCGGGGACTATCAGCTTCAAAAATTGCGAAACAGATTGAAAGCGAGTTTTCCATTCAACTGACATCACAATCCGTACGAAATCGTCTTCATAAGAAAAGTCTTAAGGGTAGAGTAGCTCTTAAGGAGCCATGGTTGTCCAAAAAAATTAAAAAAAAAGAAGATTGAAGTGGGCCTAGGACCACATTTCATGGATCAGTGATGACTGGAATAAGGTGATCTGGTCAGACGAGACGAAAGTAATGCTATTCAGGTCTGATGGTATCAATGGTCAATTTTCATAATTTATCACATGAAATCTCAAGAAAAGATATAAACGCCGTATTTTCAATGGTAATGTAATAAATTAACATAAATCGATAAATCATGGAGGAACTGATTTTCACCAGAAAAAAAATGTAAATTGGTAGGGGGGTGGATAAACTTTTTTTCCATACTGTAAATATATTCCATTTCCTACTAACACAAATGTTCCCTCCCGTGGCATCTATGAGGTAGTATGGGTTCCCTGCACCTTCTTAAGTAGATGTTGAACTAATTTTCCTTCCTATCCCTTGCGATTGTAAGGATGTGGACAGGTGTATAATGCGATACTTGATTTGTAGATTTTGATGTAAGTGTTTTTTCACAGCAACACACGATATTCTCTACAAAATGTATTGGTTGACCATTATATAGCCCCCCACGATTTGTGCAATCGCTTATGCTATGCTATGCTAGTTTCCTATTGATGTCACCGCAAATAACAGCAGTGACATCTGATGGAAAATAAATGCAGAAGCATGATAAAAAGATTAATTGCTTATCTTTTGACAGATACGCGTATTTCGTCTACTACTTGAAGACTTCATCAGTGCCAAGTTCTCAACATCACCCTATGAAAGCAAAATTCACAGGTTTTATGTGTCATACACAAACTTTACGTCCTCTACTTGCATCTTACAAATAAAAAAATATTATTATAATATCTCATAGTTTCATAATTTCGAAAAATGATATTTTTTGTCGATAGGTGATTCTTATGTAACAAAAAAAAACTCCGCTGAACATTTTGGCGTCATCAGATTTTGAAAAAAAAATGTGGAGGCATTTTGAGATATTTGCATTTTAAGTTTTCAAATGCGAAAATCGCAAAGTTGGCAACACTGGAGAAAAAATCTGATCATACCATTCCAAAATCCATACTAATCCATCCAGTTGCTGAGATATAAAACATTGAAAACTGGTGTTTATTAGTAAATGGTCCCTTTTTTCGATTACTAATAAACACCAGTTTTCAATAGTAGTAGGCTTATTAGCTTAAAGGCTTTGGAATTTTCAATATTGGTCCTAAGTTATTCCACCAAGTTTGGCTCAAATCGGAGTGGGTCGATGCAATTTTGCAAATTTACTCGGTCACTTGAGATGGGATGACCCATATTTTGTTGTGTTTATGCCCCGTCTGGAATAGTGTATCGCACCCATAGAGAGCGGTTCTTTAGTTCCACCATAGCCTACTACCTTCGTCAGCGCACTGACCACGTAACGTCGCCGCCATAGTGAGAGCGGAGAGAAGCGAATAGGCGTGTGAAGTGTTGAATCGCATGTAAGGATTTATAACACTAATGGAAATTCCCATTTGTAATATTATTCCTTACATTCGTGGTATTTTAATAGGGTAATGGTTTTTGAATTTGTGATTTAGTTTGACCCTGTTTGACTTTCTGGGCTTCACGCTCGTCAAGCGATGATCAATCTGCCCTAGCAAGTGGCAATGTGTACTTACCCTATTCAATCCACCTTTAGATTTAGCTTTCCAATCGAAGTAAGCACGTCTACTAGAATCAATCAATCGACCTACAAATCTCCTTAAATAACACAAAGCAGAGTTTCTGAAATCCCTTGGCCAAAATGGTAAACTGTTTCAGCGAAGAAAAAACGACAAAGATTCCAAATTGTAGTGGATATCGAAGGTCTTTTCTCTACACCCCATGCAAATGCCCGATGGTGAATTGTGAGTTTTCCGGTCAAGAGAAACCCACCATGGTACGGAAGTATCGAACTTCCCGTCGAATACACAAGCTGGCAAAACCGAAGTGTCGTGCGGCGAAGTTCTACCAACGCCCGGTATCGCAATATGGTAGAACGATTCAGATGATTCGAGCTTACCAGGAGCCGTATGCCTCGACCAGACTCCAGCAGTTGGCCATCCCGAAGGTGAGAAAATTGATTGCCGCTCGCGATGCTTATCGGCGGTTCATCAATCGCTGCTGGTATGATAGGTTTGGCAAGCGTATCAAGCGAAGTATGTTCACGGTTTACAGCCGATTGGCCAACGTCCAACTGCCGGCCACAAAGTAAGACATAGAATAGACAATTGGTGTGATAATTCGCTAAGTACAGTCATATATTTCAGATCAAAATCGGCAAAAATGACTCCAGAACAATGGCAACAACACCAGCAATGGTTATCTAAAAATGCGCTGCCAAAACCACTAAAGAGACCAATAATGAAACTCCGCAGAAGATTGCCTTTATCCGAACTCTTGGACCGTATTTTGAGTCTTTCCGCACCGCGTTGGGAAAGACAGAAGTTCACCAGACCCGCCAAACTTCGACCGGTAAAACCTGGTGCCTTGAAGGCTACGGCTAGCGATCGTTTGAAGGTGCTTTGCATCCCAAAAGAAAGACACCGTCGAACCAAAGGGCCAATAATAGAGAACATTGCGATTCCGGAAAATGTCCTCAAAGCCGAAGGTTAGTATAGAGTTCGTAAGCTAGAATTTAGTAAAACTTATTCACACGCACGACATCCTTGTAGCCTCAGCAAGAGTCATCGAGCTTTCGAAGCCGAAGGTTTTCCGGAACGTGAGAAACGAATATCGCGAGAACCCGTTCACCGTTGAACCAGGTGCCCTAAAGGCAAAGGCAAGCGATCGCGTGCTGGAGCTGGCTAAACCCAAGAAGGTGAAAAAATAAATCATTTTAGTTCTGTAAACTTTCATTTACATAATTCTAATCACGAATTCAACGGTGACTAACAAATTGTCATCGAAATAAATGATTTTTGGCGATCGCATTAACTATCGAATAATGACTTCAGTAGTTTATTTTGTTGTTGTTTTTCGGTAGGAGGATATTTTAATAAATAGGTATTTACCGAACATCATGCGAAAGAAGGATTTATCTAAAATTATTCGTTGAAATTGTTCTTAAAACAAAAGAAGCGCTCCTAGTACATTCCTAGAACGAAGAAAACGCAAGAAAAGCTATTGGGATTGCAGTGTATTATTCATACAACGCGCTCGTATAGGCTTTACTTTGAATCATTGATATTATTGGTGTGTTCTGCTCGATAGAACGGAAATTGGTGATTACGACTAAGTATCGCTCTACCCTACTACAAAATACATGGAGGGAGGAGTGGGGGTTATTCAGAGAGTTGAAGCGACTTTTGTCACTAGTGAAGTAAGAAAAGTCACGTCATGGTGACGCGCCCCGCATGTATGCATCACCGTTATCAAATGGATATTGGAATTACATACACACTTCCAGGATCGAAAATATTCTTTTCAAACCTAGCGCGTATTTAGTTTAGTTGTGATATTTAATTTATAAACAATAATTGGCGCGGTCTCACCATATTCCGCTGGTCTGCCACCGTTGATTTATTCTTTTGACTTTTTTGACCTTGGACTTTTTCTCTAATACATCGTTTATCATTCCGTGCTTCACCGAGAATATCCTTCCGTAGATCGTCCTTGGGTGGTTCTAACATGATTCCGCATTTTCCGGGTTTTTCGTGTTTTCCGAAGGAGATAAATCCGCACTAATGTCCGTTCCTGGTTCGATGTTAACTTCTTCCTCGCTGGTTAGTGTGGTCGATTTCATGTCCACCATCGGTCACTGTATTGCCAAGGTGATCTGGGACGAGGCTCACGTCCAAAGTCGCTGGTGCACCGAGCGCTCCGTGTGCGAAAAGAGAATGAAAGAAATACGAAAAAGTGCGTGCGTGAGTGTTTAAACAAGCGTCTGTTACCCATGATCCGCAAACACGACGCCTCAGTACCGTTTTGGCCGGATTTGGCTTCGGTTCATTAATCCAAGGACACGGTAGCCTGGTATAAAGCCAACAAAATCCAATTCGTACCCAAGGAGATGAATTCGCCAAACTGTCCCCAGACCAGGCCAATCGAAACTTTTTGGGCTCTGACCAAAGCATATTTGCGGAAACATGTAAGGGTAGTGGATTCCGTTACAAAGTTTACGAAATTCTGGGAAAAAGTATCCAAAATTGTTTGAAAGGCATCGGTGCTGAAGCTAATGAGTAGCGTAAGATCAAAAATCCGCTCCTTGGATTATGACTGATCGGATCTCGGATTTTATACGTTAAACTGTAGAATACTATAGAGAACATGAATAAGAAATAAAAATCGAATTTGTTGTAAACAGAGTTACGCTATCGTTTTTTTTTTTTTTCAATCGTGCTTAGACATTCTGGGACACCCTATAATGCAATGAAATCTAATAATAGAGCTAGAAAACATTTATAAGACTTCTAATAAAGTATATTAAATCAATTGAAAACAGTCGAAGTAAAGCGTGAATGCATGTGCAAATTACACTTATTCAGTTTGTTATTAGATCAGACTTCTGGTGCTGTACCAATAAGATAGTCAACGTTTATAAAGTTTTTAATAAGTAAATTCAGATCAAACAGCGGAATAAAGGCGCATCTATCGATCTCAATGAGGTGTTTTCAGCACATAATTCGACAACCCGTTTTATTCAGCATTTTACACTGCTATACAGCATTCATTCAATATAGGGGAAATGGATGTAATATCGGCCTAAATGTCTCTAATTTGGGCCCATACATAAATTCAGCAATCGACTAAATTTTCAATAGCTACCAAAAATATCCATTAGTACCGTCCCAATGACGCGTTCATCTAGATAAAATTCATAAATAGCAGATTTTTAGCGATGGGCCTAATCATAGATCCATAGGCCAACATTAGAGCCATTTCCCCTATATGCTTATTTGTGACTCTGAATTGTTTGTTGGACGGGGACCAACGGCTTTACTTCACTTTCGAAGGAAGGCGTGATCAGATCAGATCGGGAAATTATCTAATAATTAACCAAGAAAACCGGTGAAAACAAGAAATTTTGAAATGGAAAGTCAGTTGCGACCCTCTTCATATATTCAAAAACGAAGGGAATATTCCATGCGTGTTACATAAGTATAACCCCTCCGGTGCATATTATTACACCCAGTTCTCCTGTTTTGCAAAATAATGACAATTACAACAAATTGGTATTCGGGGTAATGGTATTCGGACAAGGGACGAGACTTAGCTACGGGTCCTGATTTCATTGGGTATCCATGCTCCAACGGCGCTTCTAGAGATGCTGAATCGTATTTGGCACAGTGGAGTCTTCCCGATCAACTGGCGAACAGGGGTCATCGTACCAATCCCGAAGCCGAATTCCACTGATACCGGACGTGCTGCTTTTCAACCGATAACACTTATAAATTACATGTCCAAAGTCTTCGAAAGGATGGTAAGAAGACGACTAATTACGGAATTAGAATCGGAAAGAAGGCCTGATAAACGCCAACATGCTTTCCGATTCGGCCACGGTACTGACACGTATTTTGCCAAACTTGAAAGCTACCAAAGGACGAGCACTGCTTAATCGCGTCTTTGGACTAACCCAAAGCGTACGATACCACCTGGAGCCACGGAATTTTACGGTCACTGAAGCAATGGCACGCAGCCACTGGAGAACGGAGTCCCACAAGGTTCTGTATTGTCTGTCACTTTGTTCCTCGTGGAAATTCAACCTATGTTTCGTGTGATACCAAATGGAGTAAAGGCTCTTTTATATGCGGACGACATCTTATTGGTCGTAGTAGGTCGAAAGAACCAGCTCTTAGGTCGGAAACTACAGATTGCTGTTAACGAGATAGTAAATTCCGGAGAACTTTGAGATTTGGACGTAATTGCTTTTGTAAACAAACACGTCTATCGCCGATTAATCGTAAATTGAAACTTATTATCGCGAACAAACCATACTAAATGATAAAGGAATCATTTCTCTACCTGTTTGTGCCGTTAATTTTTTAGATTGAGCTTTAATTGGCGAGAAATTGGCGATTGACGTGTTTGTTTACAAAAGCAATTACGCCCTAATCTCAAAGTTCTCCGGAATTGGGCTAAAAGCATTGGATTTTGTCTATCGTCGAACAAATCAAACATTTTCTACGGTAGCCCTAATGCTCGTCGGCAGCCTAAGAAAGACATAACCATCGATCGAATTCCAGTTCCAAAAACAAAGCAGCTTGAAGTTTTGGGAGTCACACTGGATCGGACTGTCAACTTCAAAGCTCACTGTACCCTGACTGCTAAAAACTGCACCACGCGACTACGAATCCTGACAATGATTGCAGCAAAGTTACCTCGAGGAGCACGTCGTTCACTGCTGCATGTAGGATCTGCGATCATCATATCACGCCTGCTCTACGGAATGGGTCTAGTCAGCAGATGAGGATACATGGTTAAAATACTATCCTCAACCTACAACCGGATGGTCGGACTCGCATCCGGAGCTTTCGTCACCAGCTAGTAGTTGGTTCCCTCCGAAGTTTCCCTCAGGATAGCGGGAGCACGCAACGTTTCAAAATCTATTCTTATCTGGTAAAGCGAAATAGGTTCGAAATGATCTTAACCTATCATCCCTCCCCTTGGCTAGTTTTTGCACCTTGCTGTTGGTGGGCGGGCTTAATTTCATGCTAGTGGAGTGTTGGAGACGGTGGATTTGTGGCCGACGTTGCTGGCTCATGCCGCGATAGAATGGCGCCATGGGCAGGCAATGAGGATTACTGAGCTTCCCCTCTCTGATAAACCACTGCATGAGAGAACAAAAGATCTAGTCCAGCAGTGATAGTATCACACTTGTTACTCCTTTTATTGAGAGCCGCGTCGTGGTACGCTTACGTATAGGCACTGACGTTGGGTGTGATACTGGCGGGTTTTGCCGCAAATCACTCTTATTTTATTTATTTTTACGCAGATAGATTTATTTGGGTTTGCAAGGGAATTATACTATTGAAATATTTCAGAAAGTGCCCAACGGTACTCCTTCTACTTGCGTGACAAGCTTTCATTGTTGTTTTCATTGAAGTATTACTCAGGGAACAATTTTAAACATCATTTTTGTACATGGTATTGTAACTAATCTTATATGTGCTTCATTTTGATTTGGGATAAATGTTTGAACTATGGCTCGGGATTTCCACTGTTGCGTGCTTCTATTGTGATATATCCATACGTAATTTTGTGGGACGACATAGTGGAAACGTGTGAGCGTAGTTGGAGCATATACCCTATATAATTTAAAATCAGCTAGGAAACTAACTTCAAAATGAAGCATTTTAGTCACTTGAGGGTGTCACCTGGGTCGAACTAAGATATAATAAATAGGTATAGGTCAAAATCAAAAGTACTTGAAACACGTTTAATTTTAGATTACAAGCACAAGTGCAGGTACTTAATAAAGCATGGGTTATGATTGATTAGGTGACTTAGAGCTTTTAATAATTTATTAATTTAGACTAATGAGATATCATAACCATCAAATGAATTTAAATAATAAACTTCAGAAAGTTTAATGACATTAAGTAGATTAACAAAAGAATTAGGATGCGGGTGGTCCGCTTAGGGAGGCAACTAACCTTTATAGTTGTAGAATAAATCTTCTTATTTAGTATTGAATTTAAAAAAAAAGAAAACGCAGGCAGACCAATAGCATTTAGCAGATTAACAAGGAAAGGAATAGTTTAGGAAAAAAGTAAAAGTAGAGTTATGTGACAGTTATTAGCTTTTAAACTTTTGGAGGTATTGTATTCCCCTGAGTTTGTTGTACTCGATTACTATATAATTCTCTCAATACGCGGAATCTCTTATATATGCGATTAAAGCATTTGAGTTAACTT